AAATAAGTAGTAACAATGATTCCAAATGCATCTGATTGGATATAAAGAACTTTTAAAGTAAGTTTGTGTTATAGTACAACCTTGATTTTAGTGATTTACCCCAAATCAACCCACTTCTGTGTAGGAGAATGAGAATCCAAGACAACTGGTCCCATGTTTAGTGCTCTTCTCTTTAACTCATTCTGCTGTCACTCAGTTATTTGTTTATTTGTCCACACATTCACTCAATAAGTCAATAACTGTTGGTAAATACTGCATGTATGCCCAACCCTCTATGAGATGTTAGAGATACGTGATGAGCTGCAGCCCCACCTTTTCAGAAGCCTATGGTATATTTACAACTGATAGATAAACACTATTCTACATGTATGGTGTTGTGCAGTGTCAAATGCACAAGCTATGGGTAAGATTCTGTGTTAATACAGAAAAGCATGTGATTAATTCTATCTGTCATTCATACATACATTTGCTACTAGAAGGAGCAGTGTAGTTAACTTGGGACACTGCCTGGCTTCCTTGTGTTGTAAGTGGTAAATATATACATTCTTGCAGATCCTGGTCTTCACAGAGCAAGAAAGAGTGAAATGTAAGAGTGCTAGATTGAAAATCAGTGCAAGTAGCTAGTCCTGGATCAGGAATTGCCAGTTTCTTGATGTTAGAAAAATTAAGTTTATATATATATATATATATATACACACACACACATATATATATATACCTGTTTCTTCACAAGAAAATAAAGCATGAGAGAAGAGACATGATATCATAGAAAACGGATCTTCACTAGGCTGCAAAAGATTTGAGGTCATATCTGTGCTTAGTTGCAAACAGTGTCAAGATGAAAGATGCTATAGGTTAAGATATAAAGGGAAATAGTGACTTTTGAGAGTACGTGAATAACAAAAGCTAGGGTTAAGTTGCTCCTGTGAAGATGCCTCACTAGTTAAAGTGAGATGGTGTTAATACAAATAAAACGCATAGCAAGCTGACTACTAAAACCATAAGATATCCAGTTAAGGGCCCAGAAAATTAAATGTTGAAAGAATCTAAAAATAATCTAGTCACTTTCTGAGTCATCAAATAGATTTGACTTTCTTTGTACTTTTCATAATATTCTACATGGCATTTGACCTAATTTTAGTTTCTCAAATTTGGTAAAGTGACCATTATAATAGATAGTGATGCTTTGAGGCTTATTTATTTATCATGTCACTTCCACCATGGTTTGGCTTTGTTTCTCCATGTATTTCTCATGATCAGATCTCTTTCTACTCCTTAGAAAATTCTGGAAGTCACCTTTCTGTAAACCTGCAAAGCAATTATCCCTGTAGAATGATGGATGCATAAACCAGAGACTGGGTCCTCTACAAAGAAACCATGCAATCATATAAGCACGTCCTCCCTCCCATCTGGACTACTTGGTTTTACTCTTTATTGGTTCTGAGATGACTTGATTTCTCCACCTGCCAGTCTTGCAGCCATCACAACGTTTTAGAGTTTCTTCTAATACCCGTGTCAGTGCTGGAAACGTAGGTGATAGGAGGATCAGAATGAGACAGACCTTGTGACTGCTGGACTCAGAGTCCCTCAGAAGAACATAAAAGACCAAGTTTTTTTTCCCCTCCAAGGATGGCCTGCTGTGTTACAGACTGCTACTCTTTCTTCAAGTATAGAATTTCTTCCATATAGGAGGAACAGCATATCCCCATCAATATGCTTTTGAATAAGTCTATTTATAGCTTCTCATCTTCTTGTATCTTCTTAAAGTTTATTGGTACAGTTTAGATATACATAGTGATCATATCCATTACAGATAATTTGTACCTGTACATGATCTATCTTCATTCCTCCTTTCATTCCCTTGCCCCCCTTCAATCCTTCTGCTCCTTAAACAAATGTCAGTGAGTTGTAGGAATAAGGCAGATGGTTTTCTGTGGACATACGGGTGTGATCATCCCAGAACTTGGGGTTTCTGAACTGGGACTCCTCAATCATGAGACTAGAACCTGTAATGTGATACGACTGTGGGCTGACCGAGTAGCCATGCAGTTCTCAGTGGATGCAGCACGTCTCCTGCCAGTGTCTAACCTTTTTGTCCCTACTTTTCTCTCTGAATCCTTGCAAATTCTTTAAAACACCCGAGGAGGGGAATGAGGACAATGGTGAGACACCATTCTCAAGAGCTGCCTTCTAGCTCTCCTGCAAGAAGGCCTTCTTTATTTGTGTCAAAATGTTGTCTATGCATTTGGGATGCCATTCAGATTTTCCAGCCCCCAAATCGAAATACAGTCTATTAATGCATGTTTTTCTTCAGCAGGAGTATTGAGGTGTCCTGAAGCAGCAGTTGGCAGTGTAAATAAAACTCTGGGAAAGATAGTGTTTGCTTGAACATTCAAGCAAGCCTGTTTCATGATACAATGGCAGATCTCAGTAACTGAGACAGACACTGCATGCAAAGCCTAATCTATTACTTTGTTTGTTGTACAAAAACTTTGCTAACTTGTTTCTTTGAGATTTAGAGTATACCAGATATAATATTGATGTATCTGGAAAATGCAAGAAGTTTTTTTCAAGCTAGAGCATGAAATATGTGACATACCTGGACAGGAAAATCCAGATTTTATGTACACCATGTTGTTGGGTATGTGGGTCCTGCTTGTTTCCTTTCTTGGCCATGCTGTCCTTGGAGATTAGAGGACTGACGTGTGAGGAAGGAATGCAGAACGGGACCATATGTTAAGCAGGGTAAGAGACAGAAGCTCAGGTCAGCATCCTACATCTTGATGACTTCATCATCATAACACGGCACCATCTGGGATCTGACGCTGCTCACCTCGAACTTTCCCTCAGGAACTCTTGCTCTGCTCTTATGATTTCCTAAGGTTCAACTCAGGTCCGATGGGACATCATTTCTAGATTTCTTTAAAAGATACTAGATCTTTCAGGCCCAAATTAGTGATAAATTTTACAATTTCAAATTCTGGGTCCTAAAATAGGCTCACGTTTTCTTTTTCTGCAGCAAAGAAACTAAACAAAATCTGTAGCAAAAAGGTATTGGTGATGGCCCTTCCCAAGCTATATTGAAGCATTACTGATAAATAAAAACTGTACATGTTGAAAGTGTACAATAGGCTATTCTGCTGTATGTTAACACTGTAAAATGATTGCCCCAATCAAACTAACTAGCACATCTATCACCTTACATAGCTACCCCTGCTTTTCTTTCTTGTGCTGATGAGGTTTCATGATTGACTTCCTTAGCCAATTTCACATCTTCAATACATTATTATTAATTATAGTCGCAATTCTGTATATTAATCTCCAGCATTCATTTCATTCATTTCATTACTAATCTCCCCATTTCTCGATGCACTCACCCCTGCTAATTACCCTCCTATTCTCTGTTTTTTGCACATTCGAGTGTCTTATAGCGACATCTCAGCATGATAGCGTGGTGTTTGTCTTTTGCTTGTCTACTTCATTTCACTTAGCATAATGCCCTACAGGTTCATTCATGTTATTACAAATGACAAGATAATCATTTTTTAAAAAATTGAATAGCATTTCATTTTGTATGTGTGTGTGAATCACATGTTCTTTATCCATTGATTCATGAATTGATGTTCGGGTTGAGTCCATCTATTGGCTATTGTGAACACAGGAATACTGTTATCTCCTTAAGATGTCTTTATAACTTTTGGATACATACCAAAAGTACAATTGTTGGGTTATATTGTTATTTTCTTAATGAACTCACATGTACATTGATATGTGTGTGCAGGTACACACATCACGTTTTCATGGGAATAGTCCATATAACCACACTTTAAAGACACAACTTTAATCTTAGCATTTAACTGATTTATCTAATCTCTGTGCACTTTAAAGTGCCCATTATTGTATCTCCAAAGATACTGCTACTGAAAGCATGGTCCCTAGACCATCTACAGTGATGGCAAACCTTTTAGAACTTTCAGTGATAACAAACACCCTTCTTTAGCCCATGTGCCATAGGTTTGCCACCACTTATCTAAGAGCTTATTAAAAATGCAGAACCAGAAGTCTCTCACTAAATATACAGAACCCGAATCTGCACCGAACAGATCTCTTGATGACTCATAAATATGGGAAAAGTTGAGAACATGGTTCTGATAGCTTCATTTCTTTGTGCTTGTGATGATTAGCTGCAGTGGGGGTAAACGTATCTAAATCACTTTAATTTTAAAAGGAAAGTACACCTCGGTATCCAACTTTAAAGTTAAATGTGAATAGAACCACATGTCTTTATTTTGAATGGTTCCAGAGGTAATTCTGATATACATGACATACAACAATATGTGCCACCAAGGGTCTCAGAATTATTTTTCTGTGATTTTTTTTGGTTAAAAGCCCTGACAACCACCTCTTGCTGCCAGGTCAACAGAGATTATCTAATGTGATATACTAGTTTTCACCACCCTGACCAGTATTGCACCATTTTCATAGGGTTGTTAAGGGTAAATATTCTCATACGTGCTCACAGTTGACTTAAGCTCTTGTAATGTTTCCTAAATATATAGAAATACAAAATGACATATAAATGCTCTAGGGTTATAGTTCTTATACAACTAAAAATCTTTACACATTTATAAGTGATATACAAACACCATGTGAACTGGAAAGACTCTTAATGTGGTATACCGTATTTTTCTGAAACTAAATTTCCATTTGCAATGTGACTAGAACACGAATACCATGATGTAAATTCTTTGGAGTTTAGCACATTTTACTGTTATTTATCTCTGATTTCTCAGTTTCCTAACTATCTGTGTTTGAACCCTTGTAAAAACTTTATAATCACAGTTCAGATCATCATTTTCTACCTCCACTTCATACAAATAAACCCAGTATATGTTTTTCTTACCCAGTCTCTCTTTCATGTAAATTTCATCAATTAAAGTGGTAGTTCTTGTCAGTGTGATTGTAAGTATAAATTTAATGACAACATTACACAAAAATTTCTGGTTGTATCTTGTTACATTACACAACAACTTCTTGTAGTATTCAGTTGGGAGGTCATCAAGCAGAATATACTCCATCATGTACTAGAAGAAAACAAATTGGAAACAATAGCAAGATGACTCCAGACACCTAGGAATATTTCCACATTTCCTGTTTGCAGTGCAAGGCAATAGAGAACAGAACTTACAGACAGGGCCTTGAAGACAGAGAGCTCTAGAATCTATTTCTGGAAGTTCTACTTACCAGATGCATCTCTTTTGGGAAACTTTCTTAGCTTCTGTGTATATTGGGGGTGGTTATTATCTGTTTCATAGACCTGGGATGGATCTGAGATTCAAGGGAGGCCCTCAGCACCTTGCAAGCATTTGTCAGTAGCTATTTTAAATGCTGTGATAATTATTATAATTGCTATTTTTATTATACATCTGAATACTAAATTTTATGAATTAAATATGCTATATCTTTCTCCCATTTGTTTTATCAGCTTCATTGCATTTTTGAGATGGTTTTCTTTTCTTTTTTTTCTCTACAATCACATCTTGCTTGAGGAAACTGATTGTAACAGAGACTAAAAGTATTTACACAATTATTACTTATACTTCTCCTCTTGCTGCTATTATGGTTGTAGCTGCCTCCTGAAGTGCTACTGTTTCCGCAGCTTCTAGAGATTGCTTAGACAATTCATTTTTTTATAGTGGGACCAATCTAGTGGGGGGTTGCTCAGAGTGGCAATATCCTGGGGCTGAGTACTGCTAGGATAATGGTGTGTTCATTAATTACCCTTTGTCTTTTTCAATTTTGTTATTAAAACTTATCATACATTGCACATGAAGAGGCTAGCACAAAATGCAGAAAGTACACTATTTTATGTGGCTAACAACATCTTCCTATGATTATTCAACTCAGAATTGAAAGATTGCATCCCCATGCTAGAAAATGAATTCTTCCGATTCTCTGAGATGATATGTTAGGAAAAGATGTTTTGTTTTGTTTCTGTCTAAGTGGAGATTCCATTGACAGCTAGATTCAGAAGATCTGTCTAAAACACAGGAAATAAATGGAGGGAGGGAGAGGGAGAGAACTGGGGGAGAGAGAGAGAGAGAGAGAGAGAGAGAGAGAGAGAGAGAAAGAACCAAACAAAACACTGAGCAAAAAGGCAGTTTATAAGTTAAACTGAGATTTTTAAAATTCCCCAAACTAAATTCACTCGGGGATGAGGGTATAGCTCAGCAGCACAAGCGCCTGCCTGGCAAGAGCAAGGTCCTGAGTTTGATTCCTGGTACCAAAAAAAATAAAAGGACAAAACTAAATTCACTCATGTGTTCTGCGTTTGTGCATCTTTGACATATATGCAAGGCACTGTGCCAATGCAGAAGTACATTAGGATGCATGGCTTGTGCTCCAGTGGCTCAGTCATTATGCAATCTAGTGCTGTACTATAGGAGAGGGGCACTGACCTATGCCTTCTGTAACTGTAAGTCTTTAATCACCTTTTACATTCTTTAAGTAGTCTGTAATTTCAGGTCAGATGTACAATGACAGAACCGCATTTGAGCTGACAGTTGGGCTTATGTGTGAGGCAACTTGAAATAACTCTCACAAGGTGGTTTCACTTCAATAAAGAGTTAAAGATGCCTTGGAGATTAAATCTGTGGGCAATGAATACTCACGCACACTCACTAACACAGTGTTTTTTAGACAAAAGAGTGGAGTTAGAACGGATAGGAACATTTGTCTAACAGTCACTTCAACAAAGATTTAACTCCAAATGACTTAGATGACAGAGAAGCCTCAGTATCAGCATCTATCCCTGAACACAGTGCCTTGGACACAGAGGGCAGCGAGGCCAAGAGTGTACAAACCAGCTCTCCCAAAATCACAGCAAGAAGTGTGTACTTATAAGCTAAGAGGTTCATGGCCATCACAGAAGAGCCTGGTAATAATAGAAGCCAAACAATCAAGAATGCTCAAGACTAAGCTGCAGATTACGAATGCAGAGTGCCTGAAATGCCCCAAGATAATGAACTGAAGCATGCAGACACACAGGATCCAGGACTCACCCAAGGAAGTGAAATCAGGTGCTAGAGACCAGTCTCTGACTTCTTCCCCATTATATTCTGGGGATGTGGCACTGTAGGCTCTGAAGAGTTTGCTGTACATAAAAAGCAGCTGGGAGTGGAGCAGTTCAAGATTTTTAGAGCAGAGATGAGGTAGATGTTCCTGCTCATTCCACGTAAGAGAGAGTGGAGTTGTGGAAAGGGCTTAGCTTTGAGGGAAATACCAGATTGAAATCTGGAACTTATTGTATGACTAGATTATTTACCTACTAGTATCCGCCTGTCACTTGTTAAATAGTTATAAAAATAGACATAATGATGATAAGAAAAATAGACATAATGATAATAAGAATAATTTATGAGGACTAAATGAATATATAAACTGACAGCACAGTGCCAGACATTTAGAAATGCTCGCTAATATCCTGGGAGAAGATCTCTTGTTGATTGTCTTAGGCCTTTGTACCTTTCCATTTATAATCTGAAATCATATGGTCAGGGTGAAGAGCTGGTGCAATAGCTCAAAAGGAAAGTGCTAAATTTAAAACTCAAAATAATCTCAATAAGAAGGAAGAATGATCCTAAAATTAAATGGATAGAGTGTAACATGGTTACATAAAACCATGCCTTTTGCTCTAAAAATGGTTATTACCTTAATTCTGAGCAGAAGAACTCTCATTTAAATATTTATTTGTGGAGTTAAAAATGTACAGACCTAAGAATTTTTTAAATTATAAGGGGCATCAGTGCAAAAATTGTGCTATAGTCACTTAGGTGTTAGATAACCTAGCTTCTACCTTTGTTAAATGTCGTCAGACGTCTTGCTGTGTACCTTCTGCTGCCATATTTTAAGACAGTGGAGAGAGACACAGAGAGAGAGAGAGAGACAGGGAGAGAGAGAGAGAGATCCAGCATGACTCAGTCTGTTATCTGAACTGAAATCTCAGTTCAATTCATGCTCTATGACTTCTTTGGTGAAGTCAGAAATCTAAGTGAAACAGCGAGGGTGGAAGATCCTACCCAGTTTGAACTAAGGATTAGAAATACAAGTAAATAGCTCAGCACAGTGCCTGGCTCAGAACTGGGAACTGTTATTACTCACAGGAAAGAGTAGCGAGAAGTGACAGCTGTAAGACGAGGAGTTGCAGAAACTTGAATATTCTGCCTGTATAAGGAAAGCTTAATAGGGTTATAACAATGGCAACCAACAGCTTACATGACTATTATGTATAAAAGTGATTCTGATTAATTAGCCTTACTCTAGAAGAAGGTACCAGGACCATGGATAAAAATTATATGAAGATATATTTGAACTCCTTATTAGGAATAATTTTCTATTTGTAAGTACTCTAGTTATTAGAATACAATCACTAGAAGGCAGGGAGTTCTCTAACAATAACAGTAATAATAGTACTGGTAATTGAAAACAAAAATACCTCAGGTTATTCTGGTTATAGTTTTTAAGTACTCTGTATCCTTTTTAGTTCTCACAAAATTCTTGCAAAGTAGGTGTAATTATATCCCTACTCATTCTACTGATGAGGAAACTTAAAGCACAGAGAGATTAAGGACATTTTCAAGACCATATAATTTAGAAGGGCTGAACTGAGATTCAACTTAAGTGATCTGATCTTTTTTCTGGTACAGGAGGTACCTGAAATACACAGGGAAAAACTGACTGATTATACACAATGATAATAGCCAGGAGATTCCTTCACTGAATTAGGGTGTTGTTCAGATGATTGAACTCATTTTAGTTCAACTTAAGGGTTTATAATTTTATAGACATAAAGCAAGCAAAACAGGCTTAATAGCGAAAATTTTTAAAAAGGCACAAATTAACATTATTTTCTCAGCACAGATAGACTAAGGTGTTTACCTAGATCCTATTTATGTGTGCTTTGTGCTCAGTTATAAAGGAATGCACATCTCTTTGTCTGCTCAGTGTACTATGGAAGAATTACTTTTGTGTGGTAGCAGAGCCAACAGCAGCCAGGAGAGACTAGTGAACCTTTGTAAGAGAAAAAAGGGGACATCAACTCAGTGAACAAATAGCAACCGAATGCCTTCTCTGTGCTGAGAACTGACAATCACTGTGAAACAAAGCACTCAGCAATCGTTATAATTTCTAGATATTTAGAGACCCTAAGGGCCTTTAGGCTTTTCATGAACTTTATGCAGCTGCATTTCTCAGACTCTTAGGGAAATGATAAATTATGCCCAAGTTTTCAAAGGAGGTATACATAATATTTTCTAAATATTTTATACAATTTGGATAATTAAACTTTGGGTGCTAAAAAAGATATTGTTTAATGCAGTTCAGGCCAGCTGAATCCCTGGTAATGCAAACATAGGTCTCCCTACATTAGAAGTGTTTAATAACTTCAATCAAAAGTTTTTGATCTGGAAATTTGGAGTTCTGCTTCAGATACAATATATGACAAACTTCCTTCTACAGACCTCACTTTTCATATCTATAAAGTATGGCGATTGTACTAAACTTTATTTCCTTAAGTGTTGAGCATTTCCTATTTCTTTTATTTCTGTAATTATGCTTGCTTTCATCATGTGGATACCAGATGGCAAAATGCCCTGGTAGTGTGTGCAGAACCCAAATTGATTCTGGGAAAATGGGGCATTAACAATGCCTAAGGAATAAGAGCAGAAGTGAGCAGAAGCCTCTAGGTCTTGTTTCTATTTCTGTTGGCTATAAAGTGTAAGCACAATACAGTGTTAGGAGATATCACCTTTTTAATATTAGATATTAAAGTCACCTTACGAAACCCACCCAGACTGCTCTGTGGTGAGAGTTCTTTAATGTTACAAGGATGAGGCAGGTGCAGCATGGTATAACGGGCTTAATTTGCTCCCTCATTTTTAATTTCTATCAATCATCCAAAGAGTTAAGTGTTATCTCTTGGTCAATTCTTCATGAATATGGTTTATTCTCTGGGCATGTTCATATGCTTGCATGAATGAGAGGACTGGCACTGTATTCAATACAGACTAGTAGTGGTAAGAACTATTCTGTATACTACTGATGTGCTATCAGACTTCTCCATGAGGACTTCACATCCTTTTCTTTTCTAGTCTTTCTTTTACCATTTCAAAGTTACATATCCAGTGAGGTTACTTGTCCATAGTGTCTTGACAAAGCCTGTCTGTCCATCTGACGCTTTCAAGTTGAGTAGTGTGTAGGGCTTTTGATGCTCACCATCTCAATTTGCTTTTGATTCAATCTCCTTCTTCAGAAATCTTCCCTTAGCAGTTAGAAGGTTAAAGACAATTTAACAGGGATCGAGGGATATTCCCCACTCATTTCGGTGTTATAGAACCTCATAAAAATCTGGCCTTTGGTGGAAATAGATTTGAGAAGTCTCAGAGTAGATTTTCTTCCTAAAGCTCAAATCTGAAAAAAACCAAAAAGTTGTATAGATGGGAGTAAGAAAGTGAGAGGAATCACTTTCTAGACTGAGCATTAGTTTCTAATGCATCATTACACATTCTTAATCTTAAAGATTGTGTTAGCTTATGTTTTTCAAACAAAACAGAACAGAAAGGAGCTTTTGCATGAATTCCTTCAGCCAGTGAGCTCCAGCTCTTAGGGAACACTTAAAGCCTGTGGCTTTCCAGGAGACTTGGGTTGCAGAGTCTTGGTCATAGCCAGGGAGTAAAATGTCCTTCATCCAGTTTAATAGTCTGCCATATACAACAAACAAAGAGGCTATGCCCGGCTGTCACATGTGGACTCGAAACCATGTAACAAATTTACTGTAGAAGTAGAAATAGTCTTTCAATTTTTCTTCTTGGCTGCTGCCTTTTCTCTGATTATCTGTCTCCTTTTACTGTCCTTCCACTCTCCATCCTTGTACCAACCCACTGGGAATACCTGAGGTCATTGTTCTGCTAATATGATGATTCTTGAGACTAACAATTCTCTAGTGAGATTCCATCCTCAAAAAGGAATTTTCAAACGGCTAGAAGACTAGATGATGTTTAGAACTAGTCCTTTAATGGTTAACTTGATAGTGTGGAGCTTAGATATTCTTCTTTCTGCATGAAGAGAAAAGTCTGAATGTGTATTGCATTAGAAAACTATCCCACCGGTCCTTCTCGAGTGTTCATAGAAAGGTAGGGGTGTCTGCTGTTTTCCTCACCTCAGAATCATGCCAAATGAACAGGAGTGTTTGCTGGTAGGTTCCATTTCACAATAAACCATATTCATGCGAGATGGCTAGTGTGTGGTAAATGTTGAATGAACAGGCTGGTACTAGAGATAGACCATTAGCTCAGAGGAGACAGATACACTGCCCTTCTACTAGCTCTAAAATATTCTCTTTCAGCATAAACATGAAGTCAGAGTGAAGCTAACCAAAGTACAAACAACATCACAGCATATTCACTGGATCCTTCTGATGGGAAGACTGTAGGTAGCAATTTGTTTTAACGATTGATTTCACTAACGTTGAGTCACAATTCACTCTTCTTGACATTGGCATAAGATCTCCATGCACTGAAGATGAATTCATTGGAATCAAAGTGATTGCATAGGAAATTCAATGAAAATTATCCTGTTCTTAAAAGACAGGCTTATTTTCTTTTCAGATTATGGAATTGCTTGCAAAATGTTATGAATTTATTTATTTTGGTGGGATGGGGTTTCACTGTGTAAGTAGTTCAGGCTGACCTTGAAATCACTATGTAGCCCAGCTGGGCCTCAAACTCATGTCGATCCTCCTCCCTCAGCATCCTGAGCGCGGGAATTATAAGCATGTGCCACCATGCCCAGTGTGTAAAACGTAATAAAAACACCAGATGCACATAAACATGATAGGGACTATAGAAGATCATTAACCAATGCAGATGAATCAATGCATATACAAATTAAAACACATTTGAACTCCTCAAAGTCATGGCTCAGTGGCTATGTGTGGATGCATGCAACCTTAAATTTCATTTTCCAGTCTCTGTGATAGTAGATTATGGGATTCAAGAAAGAAAAAAGGGAGGAGACAATAATAACCATGCATGGTATTTACAAAGTGTTTGCTCTTAGTAATACCACTTTTCTAAGTAAGGGTAGCATTTCCCACATAGTCAATCACTTAAAACTCATAGTAAATGCCTGAAATACATTATACTATTTTATATCCCACAGAAATTCATGTAACTTGAGTAAGATCAAAAATTATTAGAAAGACACTTAGGAATTGAATCCGGATGTTCCTAAATTCTAAAGCCAAGCTCTTCCTAGCTGACTTCCTGCCATGTTTTCAGAGCCATTCCCTTGTGATGATACCACCGAACTCAGGGTGGAGATTTCCCCAGCAGCATCTTTCTCTGCAAAGTAATTATTCTTTTACTTCCTCTTCCTAAATATTTTTGGGATTACTCAGGTAACAGTTTGTATTTGGAAAGAGACAAATAAAAACACTGAAGCAGGCAGAACGCTCGCCTTATTTTTCTTTCTCCACTTCTCCTTCATGATGAGCATCATTATGTGGATAATTTCACTTCAAGAGCGGAGTGACTGATTGGCACTGAATGACTGATGTTTATTTATATGGATCTGGCTTGCATGGGAAGATGCAAAGTGGATTTGAAAACGTTAGAATCCCCCAGGAGACTTGGTAAATACATCCAGCTTACCTGCAATGTGGAACAATTTTGTTTTCCAGAGATAATGGAGGAAACATAGCTTCGGAAACAACCTTCCACATACTCAGTTCTTATACACTTGGCTTTAAGTCCGAGTTACTGGATCTTTGGGACTTTTTAAATCACCTTTGATTGATTTCTGTAAAGTATAATCAATAATACTTAAAACAATAGTAATACTTTATATTGAATATATATATATATCACAGTTAAATATAGTGCTATATAACAATCAGGAATGGTACATAATCTTTTGAATTGTTGAAAACATTCAAAGAACTAAATTGTACAAGGTGCTAGCTGGATGCTTGGCATGTAACAAATGTTCAATAAATCCAGTTTGTAGTATTTTATGAAAGTGATTAAAAATATTATTTATGTACCTCCTTTTGCCGTGAGGAGAATCAGGTTGGGTTGTTGGAAAATCTGCAGTATCTCTGTTTTAGCCTTGCTGTGACTCCTGGGGTGTGTCTATGTTGATCACATCTGCTTTTTTCTTCCTATTAGTCATAGATTCATAATAACAATGAGCTATTCTTTTAAAAAGCTTTAGTGCTTTTACAGTACCTCATTTAATTGTCCAAATAATCTTAAGAATTAGAGAATATTATTCCTATTTATACAAATGAGAAATTCAGCAATCAGAAAGTAAATAGAAAGTCATCTCATTAGTACCCAGAAAATCACAGCACTAATCCAGGTCTTCTTTCAAGTACTGCAGTTCTACAAAAAAAGAAAGAAAAAAGAAAAGAAAAGAAGAGAACAGACAAGAAAAGAAAGGAAAAGAGAAGAAAGGAAAGGAAAGGAAGGAAAAGAAAGAAAAGAGGAGAGACGAAAAGAATGGAATATAAAAGAAAAGAAAAAGATTTTGAGACCACATGGAACAAACTGCAACCTATTTTACAGCTCATGATGCTGTAGTTCCAAGGGAAAAAAAAAATGATTCTTAAGGGTTACGTAGCAAGTGTAAGGCTAAGGTGACACTAGGTCTCAGGTCTGTATTACTAGTTTAGGATGCTTTCATCATTCCCAGATTATTTGTGTCTTTGGTAGAATTTACGTGTCATATAGAAGAGGTATGCAAAGAGAAACAGGTCGGGAGGAAAGACAGATAGAGATGTGGGGTCAGAAGTGAAAAGAGAGCATGGATATGGGGGAGAGAAAAACGAGTGAATTCACATACAAAAGCTAGATTAAGAGCAGGTGTCGGGGAAGTTTGAGTAGAAAACCAGAACTTTCCGTTCTTGCACTCATTTCTGCCTGCGGAAGCGGCAGAAATAACCAGTGATTCACCAGTGATGCATTTGTCCCAATCCCATTCCATCCCCATGCAGACACTAGTGATTGCAGTAGACGAAGCAGACATTAGGGGATGACAACCCCTCTGATCTCCTCAGGGTTGACTGTGGCCCCACCATCACCACCTCTAGCAGCCCTCTCTATCTCAATCTGCCTTAAACTCACAGGTCTACAAGGCCTAGGTATCAGTGAGTGGCCTCTTTGGTTCCTCAGAAAATTCTACGTAGGAATTGTCTCCCACGGAGACATTCTCTTTTTTTTACCATTTGTTCACAGAAAGGCAGACGGCTGCCCCCAGGCACAATCATCAGGCCCATCAGAACCAAACTATATTTTCTCAGTGGCTGTCCATAGAGTGTGCATAAGATTATTATTGTTTGCCAATGCTCTATTGATCTTGGCTTTGTGAAGCTCAAAGTCTGTTTATAGCCACCGATAAAAATGAACGACCACTTCTTTTACTGAAGGTTAACGTGGTGTGTTTATTTAATTGAATGGAAATAGTTTTGTGTTTTCCAAATGTCATTGTTAATAAATTTTCAAGGGATCCTCTGAGACTGGTGTGGAGAGGCTGAGGAGAAGAAAGTGGGTATGGGGGTGGGGTTGTTGGGACACGGAGTGGCTGGAGGCGAGAGATAAAAGACAGACTCATGGGTATAATACTAGAATAACTTCCCTATTTAGAAGAGCTATAAAAATATCCCTACTCTATATGAGTGCTGTTTTTTCAACTTGTCAGTAAACATTCTCCCCTGAGTGTTTTATTCTTCTACTGGCCTCTGTCTTTGTTCTGTTGGCTTTCTCAAAAAATGCTTAAAAGTGACACTGAGCATTTTAGTATATGTAGTCTGAGTTTGGGGGTTTAATATTTTTCACTATTCTTTGGCTACTTCTTTCTCTTCTATAGGAGATTTGACATAAATGGCTAGAATTTGGAGTCCTCTTGGATAGAGGCAGACACGGGCAACCCCATTGACCTGATTTTTAGGAGATAGGTGTTACTGCCTGGAGGGAAGATAGAAACAGCCTTTCCTGGAGCAGTTAGAAAAGCTGGAAATAGTTTCAGAAACTGTGAAACTCGGCTTAGTTTTTCAGTATACTAGGTAAAAAGCAGAGACTCCAGCAAACCCTTTGAATGTTCTAAATAAATATATCAGAATGATTCACTAGATTATTTTTCATTTCTGTTTTTAAGTTTTGCTCTTCCCATCTGTCCCAGACTCCTTAGCAGGATAAAGAAAGCACCAGTGAAGCATGCCTGTGAATGAATGGTGATCCAAAAAACAAAAAGTTGTAATTTCAAAGCAGCCATTTATCTATTCAAGAAATCACCAAGTTTCTCTGTGGGACCACCTCTGCACTGGGATTATCCAAATAATCCAGGATCCCACACTCTGTGTGTGTAGGTGTGTGCGTGCACATGCATGAGAGTGCACATGCATGTTGGTGGGGTGAATGCATATGCAAATATTTAACAATATTATGCAAGTATTGTGTACCCTAAACATACATGAATATGTGGCTTCAAGCAAGACGCTAATGGAGATATATCTCTGTTCCCTTCTCTCCCAAATCTAGCCTTGATTAAAATCTGATTTCAGACCCATATTTTTTTTTTTAACTTTTTGATCAGGTTCTTTCAAGAGCACATCAGAAAATACAAAGTTGTCGAGCACTTTATTTGAGAAAAAGTTACTTCTAAAAATACTTGGGATCTCTAGTCATTCTTTTTTCTTGACTTTTATTTTTTTTTTATTTTAAAAATTAAAAAAACTAACAAAGCAACCAAGACAAAATCAAAACAACAAAAATGATACATGACCTCAAAATAAAATGATAGGAATTTATAATGGTGGCTACATTACATACTGTTATCTTCAAGGAAGTTGCTCAGTCCACCAAACATAAGAATGGAAGCTTGGTCAAAAAATCAAAGACAGTAACAAGTAATAAATGAAAAAAAAACAATGTTGGTATGAAGTCAATTAAGGACAAGAGTTGGAACTGTGTAACTTTTTCCTTTAAGTAATGTAAAAATGTGAAAAATGACAACTAAGCAAACCTGAGGATTAAAATCACAAGATGATTTTCCTTAGTGTGAATTAAGTACCTGAAAATCTTCTTAGTTATGAATTTGAAACATATCTCTAAAAGCCTGTATTAAGAATAATACAGTAGAAATGAATAAGAATTGGGAGACAGATGTGTTCTTGAAGAAAGTGCAGAATATTACTCTTTATCAATTAATTTTTACTCTTTATGAGCAGACTATTAAAGCCTGAGGAGGAAAGTGAGTGTTTAGTGATCTCTAGGAAGATGTGGCTGATATTAAAATAAATTAGCACTGTGCATTGTGGGGCCCCTGCTGGTTGAACTCCCCCTGGCTGTTCTCTTTAATACCACGTACAACCTAGTTAGCGGTGGCCTGAAATCACAGGATTTGATTTTCTTCTTTCAAAGTTAGGCAAACACAGATATACACACTCTGTATGTCTAAGATGCTAGACACTGACTCTTAAAAATTGATTTGAGCTTGATGCAGGTCCAGGGGCTGATCTCTCTATAGATAGGCTGGCCTACTTTTCCTATTCAACAGTAGGACTGCTTTTCTGGCTCGTATTATCTGACAAAACAACAGTGAGGCATTATGATTAGGAGCACTGCCTCTGGAGTGAGGTTTCTCCAGGTCGCAATCATTTGATGGTCTTGGCCAAATTTCTTAACTCATTTCAGCATTAGTTTCCTCAGCCATAAAGTATAAGGCACAAGAGTTCTTGATATGATCCTTTGAAAGGTAAAATGGAAACCACCCAACACAACACCTAGCACAGAATACGATTTTGTAAATCTTAGCTGTTATTATCAGGCTAGTTATTTCAATAGTCATTTGCTCGAATTGCATGTGCCTGGAGTTGCCATTTTGATGGGCAAATGATAGCAGCAAATGGATCCTAAGCCCTTTGTGGATGTGTGTACATAGGGCTTACAATCATTGGCTTACGTCCCAACCGGAACAGATCCATCATCATCATCATCATCATCTGGTCATTCACAAGAAATGAACAGAAAACTCTTGTAAAAGTCAATCAGTATGTAAGGAAAATTTATTTTCAACACTTTTCACCTAACGGACAATTAGCCCTGTATCTTTGATGGGGGGAGGGGACTCAACCACATACACAGTGCAAGAGTCAATGAAGACAAATTCTAGTCTCCTGTGTCTGGACTGATATTTGAAGCTGCCTTTGTGAAGCTTCCAGGTCTCTTGAAGATGAGGTATAACATGCGAGCGAGAATTTTGCTTCTCTGCAGTCTACAGTCCAGGCATCTAAAAGGTGATTACACAGTCATTGTATCATGGTAGACTTCTCACTTCTTGGAGAAAGATTTGCTTGCCAAAAACATCAAGAGGCTTAGTAGTTACACACTGGATTATTGCATCTGAGTTTCTTGTGGGACTAGCCCAGACCCAAAGTGATAGGTTGGCCTGCACTGTGGCAGGCAAAAGAGAAGCTAATCAGTCATAAAGATCATCTACCATATTTCTTTCTATTTTCATCTAATCCTTGCTTCTTCACTTGTTGTCTGTATGTTCTTAGCACAGAAAACTCACCAGTAGTACTTGGTTCTATTGGTTGAAGAATTCTCTGCTCTCTTCAAGGGAAAGTACTTCAGGTAACTTGTAACTGTGCCCATTGAGAGTCCTTGATGTTTGAAGTACATTGTGAGTCTTTGAAATTATGGCCCAAGAGAAAATGATGTAGAGATAAATTTTGCTTTTTACTAATCAGCTCATCTCTCTCTTGCTGTTCTTTCACTTATAACTATTTACCAATACATAGCTCTTGATCTTTTTGGGAGTCTGTGAAATTTCGTTGCCATCATGTGTCAGGTATGTTAATCAACAAGCACAGATTGTCTTCCCCAAATTATGGCCATTTTGCCCTGTGACCTTCTATCATGGAGTATACATGCAGAACTCACTGACTTGTCCCCGTGGCACCGGAGCTGCTATGCACCATGGCTTCTGGCTCCCAACCCCTTTTGCAGAGCCAGAGCTAAATGTCTAAAGGAACGGATGACTTCAGTTTTTGTTAGCAACATACAAACTAAAGAAGAGACATTTTTTTTTAAAAAAAATATTGCTATCTTGCAAATGAAAGAACTAAGGTTTCTACCTGTGAGCAGCAAGTTTCAGAAAAGAATGCCTGGAATTGGCCCTCACCCATGCATTTGCAAATTTGTATGGCCTTCTGAGAATGGATTAGGTATAGAACTACCCTTCAACAGAGAAGGGACCATCGATGACACTTTCCACTCTTCCTTTCCTTCAACTACTTTTTGCTAAAAAGTCAAAATTTTGGAATCTGTCATAGAAAGAATATTGATATTTAACTTTAAATGACTAAAATAGAATGCTTAAAAAGTTATTTATATGTTTAATATACTGTTCTACATTTAGCAATCATCAGATAAAAATTAATAAAAATTTTTATAT